GATGCATCGATACAAAACGATTATTATTTACACCCCTAGCTACAGCCCCGTTTGTTTCCCCCGAGCCCCGGATCTCGCTTCTGAGCTGAGCTGAGTAAAATGTGCAGTACTGGAATTCACCAGATAGTGGCAGCATGTGCAGGAAAGCAGCCTGTAGCGTTACCGTGCAGATGTGAAGAAGTTGTGACCACTAGCAGTTGCTAAACAGACTGATGTTCCAGAAGTTCTTTGTCCCAGTGTTGCATGAAATTCTGTTCCCCTTGTGTCGGGCGGCGCATTGAAGCCAGAGAGACGTTTTTTAAATGCCAAGATAATCTGTCTTTTTCCAACTTCTGTCACTTCAGCCTGAAAGAAATAAAAGTCAGTCACCAAACACAGTTTTCCAACAAGTAGTGTGTATTTATCATTTTTCATTGGTGATATAAGAGGATGGAAACTGGCTGATAGCAGGACACAAAAATTAAGACTTCCTGAAAAGATAAGAATGTAGACTTTCTGGTAAATCACATTCTAATGTATAATATGACAGATTACTGGATCAAAGTCATTTCTAGTATCCGACATGCTGTCACACGTGACAATTTTTGAGAATTTGGAAACAGTTGCTCTTTATTTTACAAAGATATGGGAGGAGGAGAGGAGAGAATGAATATTTCAGCTGCCTGAAATAATCCATTCCTCCTCCATAACATGGGAAGAAATTCATTCACCTGCAAGAGTTGAACTGTGTTTATTTCTCTGTTCATCAGCTACAAATCCTGTTGATATGGTGACATTTGATCATTATTTGCCAGAGTAATGAGAGGGGAATCATATATTTGAGCCACCTGATATAATCCGTTCCCCCTTTGTTGGTCTTTATGAAATATATTTTCTATTTACCGTATTTTCACGACTATAAGGCGCACTTAAACGTCTTTTTTTTTCCTCAAAATGTGCGGTGCGCCCTATGGTGCGGTGCGCCCTATGTGTGTTGTAACTGCGACTTTTGAGACCACCTCATTGAGGAGATGATGAAAGAGTGGCTGAATGTAAGGAGACCAGGTGTTTGTTTTTTTTTCCACTCATCACCATCGCTGT